AGTTCTAAATTTTACTTGTGACTTTAATCAAACTACAATGTACCTTAGCAGCTCCTGCCTGACTCAGAACTGCTTCTGAAACACAACTGCTTCACAAAACTAACACAGTACCACCACTAAGACTACCTGCTCTTAATCTCAAATGTACATAAATGATACTTAACCATTTATAAAGCCAAACCCAAGTAGTCAAGAATGTCCAGGTTTGAACTTCAACCAAATATGTAATCTGTCAAACAGTACAGAATTTCTCTTGCAGAATTGTAGAAATGTTTTTTTTTTCTACATTTAAATCCACATTTAAACAAATCTTTACTCTTGCAGGTGATTTAGTCTGCTGTGTGGGGAAACCAGATGTGTGTGTGTTTGTGCGTGTGTTCACCATTTCTTAGAAAGGTCAGCCAGGGCATTTCTGTACCTGTGGTTACTTTGCTATTTATTTGGCCATGGAAGCCTGATCAAATGATGCTGAGATGAAACTCCTGCTGTCCATTGCTTAGTATTGTTGATTTGTCTCCTTATTGCTTTTTTTCCTTCTTCTTTTTTTTTTTTTTAGCAAAAGAAGTGTTTTTGCAGTTGCCAGCTTCTCTCTCTCCTCTCCCTTTCCTTCTGCTTGACCTACTGCATACATTCACATACGTACATGCATGCATACAAACATATGTTGTACATGTAAACTGGCCAATGCATTGCACACAGCAGACTTGAATCTGAATCATTGTCTGCAACTGCTTGCTAACTGGCTTCAGGATGGAATGGAAAAAAACTGAAAAATCCATAGCTGCTCTTAAAATATTCCTAATGGATTAGATCTATTAGCTAGAAATGCTGTCAATGAGCCATTTGCAATGTGAATGGCTTCTTTTCTTTCTCATATGATTAAATTTGGTTTGGCTGTTAGTGCATCCATTCCTTCCTTCCCTCCAAATAGAAAAATCATTTACATAGTCTCATAGTTGTACACAAGGGAGCAGACAGAAAGGTCCAGTGATTCATTCATCAAATTTCCACATTTGAGTAAGCAGTGAGTTCAGTCATCTCAGACTGCAGTGATTTTTTCTGAATTACACAAACACTTGAACCAAGGAAATTAGAAGATGAGAAAAGGAGAAAAGGAACTAACCATCTTTCTTGATCTTATTTCCTTCCTTAATTATCAGGGATGAGCAACTCTTCCATTGTTTTGAGAGAGTTACTGTTATTTAATTCTCCTTCAGGGCCAGCAAGAGGGATATGAAATGCAGTCTGAAATCTGTTTAAAGAATTCTGGCTTTTGCCATGTCAGGATAAGACAGCAGTGTGAACGTCACTGCCTTATTCTTAATCATGCTTGAAAAGTCAGGCTGTTTGAAGCAAAGCCAGTGACCTCCTTTACCTCTTTTAATCCCTGAAAATAACTCGTATGCCCTTCCTTCCATCTTCCATGACTGCTATCTCTTCTCTAATGCACATTCTTTCCTTTTAAGACATTCACTAAGAGTACGGAAAAGAAAGAACCTTTTCACTTGAGAAATGGACGCTAAACAAGCTTTGCAATACCTGTTTGGTAATAAATGTTTCATTTTGCAGATAGGTGAAATGAAATCCAGAGAGGTCAGATGAGTTTCCCGAGGTTTTATGATGCAGAAATTAATTTGGGTATAGGAACAAAAGCTTTCTGAACTTTAGTCCCTTATTTGATTCAAAATGTCTGTGTGCCTGCACATATAGTCAGGAACAGTATCAATGGTATTTGCAGATGTTTTGTTTCAAAATCTGCTGAAGGATCAACAGGAAAATTTGAATGGGCTGCCCCACCAAAAAGCACTAGAGAAAAGGTATTTGCTGCCTGGCTGAAGTCTGAAAGGATGCTATCTAGTCTTGAGGTTATGGCGATGTCATCCAAATTTCTCTTTGTATTTAAAATGCGTGTCCCCTCCTGAAATCAGCTTTGAGATATGCCTAGTTTGACATATGTAAACATTTCCAAATCAGATATTTAAAGAGCGTGGTAATATAGAGGATTTATTGCTGTGCATGTTTTATTATTTGATGGATTTGGATTCACTTTATTTGCTTTGTCTTTCATGTGTGAATTCTGCCACTTTGTCTTGTACTACAAAAATGACAGCATCAAATGTATAGCAGGCAGGTTTCCATATGTCTTCTGTATGTCCTCTAAGAGACTAAACTGCTAAATAAGGGTAGACCTCTCTGCCTGGAAAATATATAGTAACTGTCTTGACTGTTTGATGTAGAAAAAATATTTGATTCATGGAGACTTGTGCCCCGAAATCTTACTGTGATGCAGCTGATACATGTTGTTAGGGGGCATTAGAAAGGTGTGATGTATTAACAATGACAACCTGCTACGCTGCTGCTGTTTCACATTTCACAAACAGCTTATTTCCTTTACCTCCCAAAGTAACTGCTAGGGAGGCAAGCGACCTGGCTGAGCATTTCTCTTCTCTCTATAAACCAAGAAATTAAGTTATAGCTGTTAGACACATCTGTATGCATGTGTAAGGTTGTAATGGTTATACAAATGGTCCTCAGGGAGATTTTCAGTCACCGGAGAAAAAAACATTGGGTATTTCCTTCTTCTCCCAGAGGACAGTTGGAATAATTGAAGAGTGATGGAAGCCTTTGTGTTTCCAATAAATGTTAGTGTTGTTTATCATTTTTTTTGGAGCATTCTCCTGTACAGTCTGAATTTAATTTTTTCTTGGCTTCCTGTTTCCTGAGATGTTTTCCTGTGAGGGAATTCTAGCTCGTTACCTCAAATTTAAAAGCATTGCTTAGGGTGGCCATGCACTGTCAAATTCTTTTCACATTATTGTCATTTGCAGAATGGTTTGAAGACACGTTTCTCAGAACAAGGCTTCTTATTTGAACTTCTGATCTTTCTATGTTCTGTAAATCATTAATGGCCTTCGTTCAAAGAGCTTCCTTAAAAATAAGCCATTGACTCAGCTGATGCCTCCAGATTTCTCTCTTGTCCTGTATTCCTCATGTTCTTTCAAAAATGTAGCCAGTTCATTCTGAAAAATCAAATAAGCCTTTTATATGACTTCCTCACAGCTCTAGAACTGTAAGTCTGGGGGAAGGGGCTGGGAGGAAAACCAAAAGACCTCCCTCATATGTTTGCAGTCTTGCAAAAAGTTGAAAATATGTGAAAGTAGGCAAAAAAAATTAAAATATAGTGCACCTGACTGACGAATGTCAGAGATATTCTTTTTGAGGGATTCTGTGGGACCACATGATAGATGATAAATATTTTCCCCAGTATGAAACTGTGGGAAAAATGTAAATAGGTAAGTAAAATGGAATATTTTAGTTTAATCAGTAGTATCACTTATCTATAAATCATTTGAAAAAAACACAACAAAACCCAGCCACAGAAAAGACATTCTATTTATTAACCAAGCGCTGACTTACAGAACAGAGTGCCATGGTAGGCTGAGAGAGCTGAAGAAATGGTACACTCCGGTAAGGTGGCATTTGAGTACCAATGCAATGGCTTAAGAAGTGAGGGTAACTTTGTCTTTTATATTTTTCTGTGCTGCATCTTTGTCACTCAACAGCTTCATTTTGCTTCAGCAGATGGAAAAATTAATTACAAATTAAGAGGAAAAGTGTGTAGAATTTGATTGGTAAACTGATGTTAAACTTTTAAGCTCTAGGCTTTTTTATTCAGAAATAGGATAATTTATGTAGACAGACATTTTTCATGTTGGGCAGAACAACTGGAGTATTGAGGTTTGAGAACTAGGACAAACGGTTTCACAGAGACTGTGAGATTGACCTTTCAGAATGGTTGAATCTTTGTATACTATTGTCACCATTAAAAACTTTAAATTATAACAACTATCAGAGCACTTTATTTCCAATTACAGTAGTCCATGAATGAAGATGCAACTTCTGTGACTAAAATGACATTTCCATCCATTTAACTGGAATTGCATTTTTCCTCGTAATTAAAGTGATTAAAACTGTAATGTGTGTTTCATAGAAAATTATCATAGGACTTGATGAGTAGTAACAGATCAGTGAGCAAAGCATCTACAATTATATTTCAAGAGACAGCTTTCCATAGAATCCTTCAGAAAATAACCAGTTCTCCAGAAGCTTCCCTGTTGAGCTTCAGATGAGACAGAAGTTCTTAAAAGCCCCAGTATTTACAAAACACTAAGTCAAAAAATAAAATAGAATAATAATCAAGAAATTAGTTTTTGAAATAATTCTTCTGTAGCTTCCTATAACATTCCTACATATTTTAAAATTTGAAATAAAATAGAAGCAGTTCAAACTCAGAAATGTGTTAAATTTAATTGCAGCCACAGTCCTCACTCACTATTGGAAATATGACCTTTGCATTTCAACAGCAGTTCTTACTTGAGGTATAGCTTTTGTGTTTAATATGCAACTTTACTTTTGCTGAGCTCGGAAGGTGTTGTCGGATCATTCTGGTAGAGACATGATGGGCACCTCTTTTCTAGCACAGTTGCTCCTGGCCCATTTTTCTGTTGCATCATTTCTTGTTTAGTACACAGCAGGTTTGAGTTTTAACATTTCTGTGTAAGCTTCAACCTAAGCTATCTACCCTATTGTGTCATAGTATAGATCTAACAGAACTTGAAGAACTTTGTTTACAGTCTTTTATAGGCTTTGACTCTGTGTTGTGAAAACAGCTTTAAACACAACAGAAAAGCAGTATATGGGCAGGTGTGGATGTCTGGATTTGCAGGGCTGTGTACACTGCGTTCATTTTAGCTTTTGAAGTAGAAAATTCTTTGGTCAAAAACAGAACCTATGATAAGTGCCAGATCCCAACTTTGCTGAAGAATCATATTGTCTATCTATCTGTATATGAAGAGCTCAGAACTGTTATGTTTTTATAGTTTTTTATTTTAGATCTGCTACAAAGAATAATTAAATACTGTGCCAGTGCTAAGTAAGAAAAAAAAAATAATTGCATTAGTGGGTACTGAAACATTTGCCGTTTTTGCTTTCTTTGACAGCTTTTTGGAAACTGCAGCCTATTTCTGTATGAAACCAAAAATGGGAGAGAAAGAGGTGTCCCCACATTCTTTCTTCAGTATTTGGCATGAATTCAGTTCTGACTTCAAAGACTTCTGGAAGAAGGAAAACAAACTTATTCTTCAAGAAAGGTACATTTGTTTGTTCAAAGGCTTTTCTCAGAGAATGTTATTGGGAGCAATCGCACAGAAATCAGTCAGCCTCACTTCATTAGCACACAACCTATTGAATGCCTTTTGGAGTTTTCTCAGTCTTTTTTTTTTTTTTTTTTTTTTTTTTTATTTAACAGATTCCCCACCACTACCCCAGCCCCATCATTGTAATTTTTGAATGGGACGTTAATATCAATTTGTGCTAAATTTTTCATGTCCATTACCTGAACAACATTTTTGGCAGAGCATGTAACTACTATGCCATTATGAATCCAAGGAATGGGAGACTTGTTTCAGGTCTGAAAGTTGATTAAAGATTTTCCATTAGCATATTTAGTGAAAACAAGTCAAGGCATCAAGACAAGACATATTGTAAATATTTGTCCAGTGAAGTTGGGAAAAAGGAAGTAGGAAGACAGAAGGAAAAAGTCAATTGACCCTGCGTTAAGAAAAGACTCAGACTGAACCATATTGCAAATCACAGCCCATGGACATAAGCACATGTGTTATATATGGCATAAAGAAGTGAGACAGTAGTTTTGAAAAATTAGCCATACTCTGGTCCATGTATTAGAAGAGCTATGAAGTTTGCTTTCATCTGCATGCAGATATTGCATTGTGGTCATGCTTTGTTCATAAAAATTATGCCAAGAATTAATCAGTTGTTTAAAAAGTAATAAATGCCATATAAGGACAAATTAAACTAATACAAACATGAAAACTGTAAATACTGTTATATAGTTCTACTGTTATCAACTTGAGTGACCTCAGTATACAGATAATGAAGCTACTTCTGAGCCTTAACATTAACAGGATGGAAGCTTTATGTTCATTAAGTGATTGATATCAGTCCATTTTTAGGTCAATTGACAAGAACAAGCCTCTTTTTCAAGAGTACTCACCCTATGTAACTGTCACAGACATCACATTACTAGTTTAGCAAGTTATTGAAAAGTTTCCTTAAGCACCTATATGACCAATGTCATGTATACCATGTATGTTTAGTGGAAGTGGATACATTTTGGAAGGAGCAGTCTCACAGTTAAGAAAACTGGATTCTGCTCCTATTGCAAGAGCGCAGTGCAAATGTTAGCACAGTACAGCAGCTCTCCAGGGATCTATTTCATTTTACTGACTGTCTGACTTAATTTTTTGTAATTAAGTATATCTCTTTGGAATTGAGTTGACAATTAAATACTATCTTTGGTTTCCTATGCAGGGAATTGGCTGCCAACTTAATACAGGTTAATTTAATCTTGTATTTTTTATAGAACTGGATTTAAGAAAAATGTCCTTTCTTTTCCAAAATACTAAGCTATTTTCCTAAAAACAAACAAACAAAAATCCTCCAGAGGGTTCTTGCTGCAAAATATTTTTCTTTAGAAGACATTAACTAAATAAGCATAAAACCTCTTCCTCCTATTTTTCTTATACATCTAAAGCTTAAGAGAAGAATGGGATTGCGATACAATCATTTCTCTTTCAGTTCATTGTATGTGTATGCTGAGAGGATGTGTTGAAGCAGCAGAGAAAAAAAAGTGGCTGCCAGCTAGTCCCTTCTAGGGCAAAGGGGTTTTTAACCTGAAAGGGACTGAACATGTATAACCTACAAAATGGCTCTAGGTGCAGGATGTGACAGGGAAGGGAAAGGACAGTGAGAAAGGGCCTGCAGTGGGAAAGGAACTTGGGAGATCCCTAGGAAGAACAGCAAAGAGACCCAAACCCAGACTTGGAGCTGATGGGATGAAGGAGACTTTCCCAGGGGGACAGAGAGGACTGTATAACTGCAGTCCAGGAAGTCACTGAGGTTAAGACTGAAAACGATCCATCCTGAAAATCAAAGGTAGATTTTTGTTTTGAATTTTAATTTTTACTTGTCTCATCAAGTTTAAATCTTCTTCTCTATAGATACTGTTTGTTCAGCTGAGGCAGGGTTTAGACTTTGGAAACCTTTGATGTCTTGGTTTGTGCTCACCTCTCAGAAAAGTTTGGCACAGTGCTGTTTCAGGTCTGGCAAAGTCAAACTGCCTTCATTGCCTTTTAGGAATTAAAATATTTTGGCCAAATTGGCAGTAACAGTAAGAGTGTTCCAAGAAAGACAAATTATTTTCCTGAAAGTGAAGAATCTTCTTTGGTAAAACAACTGTCTTATCAAAGCCTTTACATGGAAAATATTTTGCCTCCGATCATAGTTCAGCCTGATATCTGAAGTTGTCCTTTAGGCTTTTTTTCTTGATTTTATATTTCCACTTTTCTTAGTGAAAGACAAGATGCTGTGATGTGAAGGTGTCTTGGTTTTGAGAAGTCAAAGGAGAAAAATCTTGATGGAAGAATAAGTGTTGCCCAAAGGTGTAAGAATGTACAGCATGATGGCTTTCAAAATCTCAGCCTAGATTGACAGAAATCTGAAATCTGCCTATTGCCACCAAAATAAGAATTATTATTTCAAGAAACTAGATTTTCCTCTTTAGTTGATGTTCTTGAAAGTTTTTCTGCTGCTAAAGTTGAAGAGCAGGCTAGAACATTAATGGTCAAAGTAACTTTCTGTAGTTTTTCATTGGCAGCAAAATCAAGTGACAGATATGGTGAGACTTTTCTTTTTAAAGTATTGCAGTATGCCACCTTTGGTGAATTATTTTCCAGGTTGCTGCCTTATGAAGCATACTTTAATTATTATAATTATTCATAAAATGTATAACTTTATTCCCTTTTCTTTTTTACTTTGATCATCCTTCTTTCTCACCCCCTGATTGGTTTTGGTGCTTTTTTTGCCTCTTCTCCCTCCACTTTACTTTCATTTTTTATTAAACTTTTATGCTGTGGGCAATGTTTTCTAGAATATTTTATATCTCAGTTTCCATATGGACTGTTAATAGAGGCTTTCCCTTATTTAGTCTCTGCAAATATGAGTCACACTCTTTTACAATAATTTACCCAAAGGCTTTTCGTAGACTGTATTTCCAAAGGTGGTACCTACTTTTTGTTACTGATATATTAAAAGTGTATGTGTTAAAGAAAGCAGTCAGCCAGTTCTTATTTTAAACACTTTTCGCTTGGCATTTCAACTTGTATATTGGTTTGCCGGGCATTTATATGCAAAAGATAAACATTGAAGTGTCAGGCTTTGTATTTCCTTATGAGAAGATGAGAAAAAAAATTTAAGAAAAATGGTGCAAGGTTAAAAACAAATTAATTTTTCCGAAGTTTTCTGCTGCTTTCACTCAGTTCTCTCACTTGAAATAAAGCAGAACTGGAAAATACTAGCTGTAGAGAAAATTATGCATGATAAACTGTTAAATACAGTAGCAATAAAAAGAAAAATGCACCTGAAAATTACAGTGAAAGCATAGGTCTGCCACAAGGTTTTCTGAACAGTGCTATTTTTTTTTTTTTTTTTTTTTGTGGTCACACTGTAGTCAAGGCTAACTGGAACATTCCAATAGAAATTGTTATCTGGGTTATTTATAAATTTCTCAAAAATATTTTGTGGAGGTTGAAAATTCTGATGCTATATCTATCCTAAAGATAGATATTTAGATATTTCACCTTTTAAGTGAAAATTTTCAAAGTAATATAACTTCTTTCTGATTAAGCAACTTTAGGAAAAAAAACAAAATAAACCAAAACGAAAACAACAACCAAACTTAACGGGGCATGTTTTGAGTTTTTACATGTTGTTGTTACCATTGTCCTTTCATTATATAATTAATGTGTCACTGGTAGTCTATGCTTTGCATTCATACTTTGAAAACTCTTGAAAGGTATCTGTCAGTATAGCTTGCACATTACTTGTGATCAGGAAGAAAGCCAAGAAGAGCTGACATACTTTCCCTAATACTTTTTCAATGTTGTTTGACAAAAGAATATGATTTTGAACCTTGCAAGTCAGCATGCACATTATCTATACATGTATTTCAGTTGCTGCATATCCTAAGATGCCTGTTCTCTGAATACATATTGTTAGATATGCAGTGACAGCTATGCAAAAGTTTCACCTTCTTAGGAAAGCTCTTAGGGGATCACACCACCAATCTTCAAATGCCTTTTTTTCTCCTGTAGTGAGAGCAAGTGCCTCCTACAAACTGACTTATAAATATATTAATTTTTTTCTCATTAATCTCTGTCTTTATTTCACCCCCACCCCGGTTTCTTTATATTTCTGATAGCAATATTCAATGTTAAACATACTATTCCAGTTTAGCACTTCTGTGAGAGCAAGAAGTATTTTAATTTTTCTTGACATCCTGGAAAGGCCTACAGAACTGTTGCCCAGACCCTACCACTTTCCTAGGAACCAGGAAAAGATAGCCTGCCCTAGGAATGAAAAGGTAGAAGAGTTCATGAGGGAACACCTAATATAACCCTACAGAGGGAAGTCTTGAAAAGTTATGATCAATTTAAAAAAAAAAGAAAAAAAAAAAAAGCAGCTGCTGGGTATGGCAATCAAATATGGAATTTGGGTATTGTTGGTAGCTAAAAATACAATTATTTTTCAGAAAATCTCATGTTGGTGTGGACAACAATGATTCATCTTCAGGACTACAACTTCATCTTTTCTTTACAGCCATGAAATACATTCTGGCTCATTACAGTAACAAAAAGCAGTCAGTCTTTTAAGAACTTCTGTGTTTTAAAGAAAAGTTCCATTGCTGTCAAAGGTTAATATCAATATAATTAGGCTTTAGATGCCAGTTCAGATCTTAGTAGAAACAGGTCAATAATACGGCAGAAACATGCTTGCAGGACCACAGTTCCACCTTCCCTTTCTCTGGGTACAAGTGAGGTACTGACACTCGTTTGTCCACTCCAGCTCTGGACACGTTTCCATTTCTTCAGATTGTTTGCTGTTCCAGAGAGCCTGTGCAACCTTGCAAAGATTTACCTAAACAGGGCAAAATAAGTTCTATTTCTGGATGGGGGGTGGTGGGGGAGAGAGAGAGAAAGGGACAGATATAGGTGCCCTGTAAGGGTGTACATAA